ACACAGCGGCCTGCAGTCTGCGATTACACAGGGGCCTGCAGTCTGCGATTACACAGCGGCCTGCAGTCTGCGATTACACAGGGGCCTGCAGTCTGCGATTACACAGCGGCCTGCAGTCTGCGATTACACAGCGGCCTGCCTCTGTCCTGGCAGGCTGGAGGCCTTGCGAAGCACAAGTCGATTAGCATCCCATCGACGCCGATCTGCACGGCGTGGTGATCCTGTAATCCAGCGAGCACAGGAAGCGGGAGTGAGATGATAACAAGAACACATCCATTATCAGGTCCCCCCCCCCCACCCCTCAGTTTCTAGGGGGGAAAAACTGCCGCACAGGCTAATTTTGGAATATGTCATAAAGGGGACGTTTTTAGCGCGGGGCATTTTAATGAGAGGGAGTCACAGGCAGTCAGCATCCGCACGGCAGCACAAGCGAGGCATTTACGCCCCCCCCCCCCCCCCCCGACGCGGATGCGGCACCCCCTCCACCCCCCCACCCCGTGTGCTGAACTGGCCGTTTGCCTCTCACAGGCGCAATTTACTGGAAATTAAATAGAAAATGTAAAACAGCCGTCTGGGGCAAAGATAACAAAACCTGGGCTCAAGCAGCGAGGTCCAGTGTGAGGCGCTGGTCTCCGGCTGGCATTCGCCTCCTGCCACCCAGTCCCCAGCCGGGATGCAGACGGGTCACAACAATGACACAGACGCCCACCACAGGCTGCTGGAAATAAGCTGTTTGTTTTCCATTTAATCCTGTGTTTAAATCAACGTAATCCTGCCTTTCTGCAGAACTCAGACAGCAAAGCGGCTCCAGCGAGGGACATTTCGGCGTGGGGAACAACGGCGTGAACGGGGCCGGGCCGAGCCGGGCCGGTGTAAGACAGGCCTGCGACAGAAAGAGGACACCGACGCCTTCCCGCGGTACAGTCATCATTATTTACCAGAGTAATCATTTCTTCTGTTTTTTCAGTTAAATAGTGGTTTGGGGGGGGGGGGGGTGCGGATCCATCAGACAGCAGAAATCTCACCTCAGAGGAAGTGGCCTCGGGCTAAAAAGAAAATGTTTCAGCAAAGTGTCATGGATGAATCTGGAAAGGGGGGCCGCTATGGCCCCAGCGTGGTGTGGGGCGACCCGGCTCCGGCTGAGCACGTCTCAGCCTGTGTGGCACTAATTACCATTTAGAGATCACACTCTCTCAAGGGCTGACACCCAGGGACCAGGTAAGTGCGATACATTTTACAGAACAGCACCCCACCACCACATTTCAGCCCACAGCCGGCCGATCGATGTCCAGCAGGGAGACATGAGCCACACATGAGAGGGTGGGAGCGGGGGGGATTGGGGGTCCCTATTATATGCTCCATAATAACAACTACAAAACAGCCTGATCGCTGATGAGCAAACAGAAGCTGAATTAAACAGAATCATTTCCAAGGCACTGATATTCCGTCATCTTTAATCTACTGCTTTCGGAAGGATTTAATTTATACCGAACAGCTTTTTAAATCCCACTGTCAAATTCAGGATATTAAATATATAAGCCAAAGGCAACAGCATCATTTCACATTGATATGTCACGTCGATGTTTGTTTATTTCATTAGGCGACTCGTTATAAATTGAACCAAGGCAATATTCATAATTAAGGTGAATTATTTTATGCTTTACACACTAAGGAGACTGAATTTCCTATGGCTCTGCTGCCTGACTTATGTTTATAAAAATCTGCTCCCCACTTGAGAATCCACTTAATTACAATGAGTTAAACCATAAAGACTCATTTTTTTAAATTTACTTTTTAAATTAAACTTGTTACCAAAACCAGTGTTCCGTGGTATGGATGTAATTTCAAGATGTAACCATTTTTGAAGACAATTACATACCACTTTGGACCCCAGTCCATAAGTATGTGTGAAGAAAACAGTGGCATAATTATTTTAAAAATCACCGCTTACAGCCCTTCAGAGCACAGAGTGCTTTCCCTGCTTCCTTTAAGAGCCTCTCAGACGATAAAAGGACACGTTTCCTTCAGCTTCAGTCAGGAGAGGCTCCGGAAACAGCCACACAGCAGCCACTCAGACGTGAAGCAGGGATTCTTCAGGCTAAACTCCCTGGCAAACAGCAACACCGCATCCATCCGTCTCCCATAACCGCTTATCGGAGGCAGGGCTGCGGTGAGCCCCCAGCCAATCCCAGCACGCACTGGGCACATGGCCAGCCAATCCCAGCACGCACCGGGCACATGGCAGGGAGCAGCCTGGACGGGCCGGCAGTCCATCATCGCAGGACACACTCACAATCACACACGGCAGGCCATTCACCGTGGGCAAGACAATCAATCAAAATGCACGGTTTTGGACCGTAGAAGGCAAACCGGTGTAGCTGTAGGAAGTCTAGCAGCACGGGAAGAGCACGTAGAGAACATAGAGAGAGAATTGAACCCCCAGCCCTGCAGTCACAGGTCACAATGTAAACGACATGACATAACCAATAGCAAGAAGAATAACATGAAAAGTACCGATGATGATGCAATATGAAAAATCACATTGTGCACGTTGGAGTGTATATTTTCCATCCATCCATCTCCTCCTGGTGAGGGTTGCAGTGAGATCTTGCTTTAGAGACGTTTCATATTTCTGCTATTTCAGCTCTGGGCCCACATCCCTATTTGCCATTCATTTTGCAGCAGCCTTTCCAGAAACATCTATGGGAAATTCCTGTGGTGAAGCACTGCTGACAGGATGGGCCGTCTCCGCCGCTGGGGGTGAAGCGCAGAGCGCCTCCTGGGGGCTGCATATTATCGCCCCAGCGGCACGCTGGCTCAGCAGCTCTACTTCCTTCATAGCTTTCACTGCTATTTGCCAAAGTCACACGAGTCCCCTTCCTGCCACTCACTACCCGCTGTCACACGACGGCCATGTGGAAGTGCCGGCCCCCCACTGGCAGAGCGCTGTCCTTCAGACTCACGTCCTTGGTGCCCTGCCCTCCCCCCCCTCCCCGCTCCAGCCCCACCCCCATCTCTTAGGTCATTATCACCACCTGACCCCTAACCCTGTCAGTGTGGTCGGTAATGCGACACCAGGCGGCTGGTCAGGTAACTGGTGGATAAAGCCCAGGGGGACTGTAATGGATGGGTGAGGGGGGGTTACAGTGACAGAGCAGTGGGGGCGGCGGGCTTACCTTGCAGACTTCGTTTCTGCGCAAAGACGACGACCACGGCGGCCAGCACCACACAGCAGAGCGACGTCACTGCGTTTGCCATCTGTGGAGGGACACAGAGACAGAGGTGGGGGTCAGCAAGCTGCAGGGACAGCCCCCCAGTGACTGCCCACCCCACCCCGCTCACATTACCCGGCTGTGTGCAGGGGGGGGGGGGGGGTTGCAACATGATGTGCAATCGCAGCGAGAGAGTGAGTGTGAGGAGGCGAGCGGACCGGAATGACAGGGTGCCGGTCGCAGACTCGGCCGTAAAGAGTCAAGCTGGCACAGAAACGGGCGTAACCAGCTGCCCGATATGTTCATTTAAACATCAGACCCACTGCCAGAGAGTCAGAGGAAGGACGTGCAGCACGCAGGAACCCATTAGGGGCGGGCAGCCCAGAGCACGACATCGCAACACGCAGGGCGAAGGGTGAGGCGCCCCCATTCAACACTCTTACATCACTGATACAGCCTGCAGCATCACGGCTTCGACGCTGTCATGTGAATAAAAACACATCAGCATCAATGCGCTTCCTCTGTTTATTTGGAAAGAAAGAGACCCGAGACCCTGGCTGAGATATTTAACAGGCAGCGATAGCATGATTACTCTGACGGTCCAGCAGCTAAGCCAGTGGAGACCCATCCGGGTTGTGAGGTTGCCCGCTTTGCGCCTGCCTGTGTTTTGCTGTTTGTTCTGCTTGATGCATTTGCTTTGAACTCTGAAGTACAGAATTCATTTTGCAACAAAAATAAAAATCGAGATGGAAAACACTTCTGATTCTCACGACACAATGGCAGCAAATACAAAGGAACCCTACAGTTTTAACAAATCCTTTGATTCATAATAATGCAGTTTTCCTGCAATTATTCCTTAAAGGGCTAATATGGCGTCTAAAATAATGAGTTTGTCTGAAGGCCATTGATAACAGCGTGTTAATATTCATGACACTGAGCTTATACCAGGATTCTGCTTCATTAAAATGCCTCACATCTAACTACACAATACCATTATAACATTCTCCAGCAGAACCAAATATGATTACAGGTATGGTTTTGGCTGAACTAATGGCCATATAAGATACAGAAATAGAAATACTTGTGTAAATGACCTGCTTCCTTACAGACCGTCAGAAAGACAGTACAGACTGGTATGCGACACTGATCCAGCGTGCTGGACAGACCACACAGGAGGGTTGATTACATCCGGATCTGATGTGCTAAGATATGAACAATAACTGCATGGAGAGGGGGGGGGGCGACATCCAAGGAGAAACCGGCTGTTTGGAGAAAATCACCGGGATGATCACGGGGGTTGAACCCAAAAGGCGACGAGGATATCAGCAGCTGAGAGGTGCGGAATTGGAACAGCAGCGTGATCGATGCCGGCAAATTAAAGCGGGTCACTAAAAGAGCCCAACAGAGGAGGACGGCCCCCAGCGTCCCAGCTGGGTGCTTGATGCCTCAGCCCAGGGGCCACGGATGTTTATGGGAGGACGCTGTTAAAAGGGCTGCTGGGGTGGAGAGCCGTGCCGTCGGCGTTTATGCGTTTTACGGCCTGCCGTTCTCAAGCCGCTCTTCTCTTCTCGTTTCATTTTCCCCCACCCCGAGAAATTTGATAAAAGAGCCATGGTCCATGGTCCGCAGCCGCCCCCCCCACCAACTCTGTGTTCTCTTAACAAGCACTTCAAAGCCACCTAGTAATTTACATCCTATTCTTTTAAGCCCCAGAAAAACACGTTTCACTGGAAAGACGGCGCTCTTCACTTCAGGACGACAGGAGAGGAGAATGAAGGAGCGCCGGTCACAGCAGGGGCTGCCTCATCACACCAACACAAAGCGCTTCAAAAAGACATTTCAAGTTAATTCCTAAAAAGTTTCTTTCTATGTGCGGCATCTGAGGGAAATCTGAATGTGAATGAATCGCGATCAGCCTGATTTGACGTGGAATTACCCTAATTGTTGTATCCTCCTGAAAATCAATTCACCGCTGCCAAGAACGGGGATTAAAATTTCATGGGTCCCATGTTAGCTTGACGCCTTTGTCTCCTGCCCTGCCTGGGAACAGTGGGACGCAACTGGGCGAGACGAGCTCCGGGCCTCAAAGCCCAGGATAAACATGGCCCTCCCCGCCGCGGCCGGGACTCTCACGGGCAGCTGTTTGTCCGCCTCAGCCCCCTCTCAGGACAGCGGCGGCCGCCGGGCCTCACTGGAGGCTCCGCCTTTGTTTCCCCGCACTGCCGTCCTTTCTAAGCACTTCACCCACACGCACAATCCTCCTGCTGCTCCTTCAGGGATTTCTCTCCGCGGCCCGCTAACGCCATTTTCCCGCGGGTCGGTCCGCGTTAGCTGCGTTCCGGATCTCCCCAGGCCTGCACTTGACAAGAAGCCAGCTTCAGCTCTTCCGCCCACAGGCCAGCCAGGTTAATACCTCGGCCCCCAGCTTGTCTCAGTCAGACACTGAGCTCCTGGTTTCTCCCAGCCCACATCTGTAGGAGAGCAAATAATCGGGAAGTCGATGACACCCCCATCTACACGGCACCCCAGAAGCCGCCTTTAATCTGCTCTAAAACGATTTTTCTCTGCAGATTAATCATTAAACTACACCCCTCCGAGAGACCATGGCATTCTTAGTTCTTAACATACTGCAATCAGAAAATGGACTCAGCCCCCCCCCCCGATCGGACAGCCCTGTCACGCTCGCATGGCACACACACACACACACCCCCCCCCCCCCCCCCCAGCCACCCCCCGACATGTGTTTTCTGTGGAACGTCCAGGAAGACGTCCAGGAAGACCGATGATGCCACAGGGGCCAGCCAGCATGTGAGGATGGGACATACTCAGCCCTCACTATGAGGCTGGGGGCAAAAGGCACTCCTCTCTGAAGCAAATGGGGGGTAACTTCACACGAGGTCAAAATGGCCACCGTTACTATTCTCTGCCACTCAAAAAGGGGCAGCTAACCGGCCAAAAGGCTGCCCTGCATCCTTGAGTCGCTTTGATGCGATGAGCAAGGACCCAATTAAATGGAAACAGAGCAGGTCTTCAGAAAAGTTTCAAACAGGCACTGATAATACACAGAGACATGACAGAAAACTGATACACGCACACACACATATATATCACACATATACAGAATACACACACACACATATTACACATATACAGTATACATATATACACACACACATATACAGTATATATACACACACAAATTACACATATACAGTATATATATATAAACGCACACACACATATATATCACACATATACAGTATATATACACACACACTTAGAAATGAGACAGAGACGGAAATCAGACACAAATAATTACAACACTGCAGATTTGACAAAGGATTTGCTTTCAAGTGAACAAAATTTTGAGATCAGAAAATGTATCTTCAGATACATATATGTATCAGATATATATATGTGTGTGTGTGCATGTGTCCGTGTCTGTATGTGTGCGTGCAAGATCTTTTGTTAATGTGGCAGTATCAATCTTCAGTTCTCAGCACATTGAACGTATGAGTAGAAATAAATGGATAGAGCTGGAGATACATAGATATTAAAATATCTGCTTATTTGTCAAAGACTCGCGTGATTGTAGCTCAGTCCGTGACTGCAGAGCCATCGATGGAGTCTCATACCAACTCATTAAATAGTGCAGTTATACTAGCTGCCCTGATCCACAAATGTCTAAATAATTATAGATAATAAAAGTCAGATAGCAAGAATGGGAAGGAGCCACAGTAATTTGAGCGTTATAATAAGTTTCAAAACAACATCAGGCTGTGTCCGCAGAGAGCCTGACTGACGCTTTCCATTTACACAGAGCGGCAGGAATGAAACAGACTGACAAGGGTGAAATTAAAATCATATTCCCAGCCCTGGCTTTGAGCTCGACTGTCCGGCCTCCCGATGGGAAGTGACTGGCACAGCGCGAATCATTCACAGAGGCCTCCTCTAGCGACAATGAGCCGCTGTGTCATAATATCACCCAAAATTCATTCATTGCTTGCTTTCCCTCTTATTTCTTTATTGATTCTGGACGTTCTGATGCATTTAGCTTGCCGGTTAATTGAAAAATAAAGCTGTCTCATTGTGGCCTCAAACGATTTTCCCCTCGAATGCGGAGCCCAGACGCAATTTGCATTTTCAAGAGAAGTATCCCACACGTAGTTCTGTGAATGCTCGCTGACTTACTGTGAGGGTCACCGCACAGCCGGGCAGAGCGGCGCGTTACGTAAGGCCATCGTGACGTCAGCATGACGCTCACAGGGGCCGCCCGCAAAGACACGCATCGTTTCTAATCACAAAGACCCCCGAGCTGACCCCTAGAGGCCCACCTGCTTGGAGCGAGTTGTGAAGCACACCCCTGTATCGATGTTTCCTCCCATTAGTCATGCTGGGTCTGTCTTTGATGATAAATTCCTCAGAAGTCTTTGTGCAGCCCCCTAAACCCCCCCCCCCCCACCCCTTGGATGTACCTGGGGATAGGATAGTGAGCAGAGAGAAAGGTACTTTTCAACCCGATGAGGCCCAACACGATCCTTCGATCCAGTTTTTCGTTTCAAAATAGCGTATCAAAATGTTATGCGTGTGTATGTATGTGTGTGTGTGTGTGTGTATATATATATATATATATATATATATATATATATATATATAGAGAGAGAGAGAGAGAGAGAGAGAGAGAGAGAGAGTGTCTATATGAGCTTTTAGCTCTTTGATATCCAGAGGATGCTGCTGGTCAATGATGGTCCATGGACATTTTTGACAGTCAAACAAACAGCTTGAATGACCACCAAATATGAAACATGAAGATAAACAGCATGAATATTTTAAAAGCATAAAGAATCGCGAGGGTTTGATGCAATACTGCATAATGTGTAGGAGAGAGCGCTCCCCTACCGCCAATAATGTCAAGACCCAAATTCTGCTTGTTGATTATTCTGTTGGTTTGGAGATTTGGAGTCAACATTCACTAAACTCAGACACACACACACACACTTTCATATGCATGTGTGAATGACAGATAAATGGGGCAGATGCAATTTG